CCCCAATAAACTTCCTGCACATGGTTTTCTGTTCCAGGATCGAAGTCACCTAAAACAACGTTACCCACGGAAGACTGACACAGCTAGAGGGCCGGGGAAAGGCAGTGTGTGAGGGTCACAGAAAGCTTTCCTAATGAGGAAAGGTACTTTGGAGCTGAGAGCCAAAGGTCAAGATCAAGAAGGGATGGAGGATGTTCTAGGCAGAAGATCACAAGACAGGAAGGAAACAAGGGGAGTGCGGCTAGAGCAGGGAGAAGGAGGATGGAAGGCCAGGTCGGGCAGTGCCACGGGCCCGAGCTAGGCTCACGTTGTTAGTTATGACAGGAAGTAAACATTTGGATCACGATTGTGTTAGACTACTGGGGGTGCCATAGCAAACACCACAGACTGGGTGACTTAACAAGAGAAATGTGCTTTCTCACTTTCTGGCAGCTGGAAGTCCAAGATCGAGGCTCCAGCACAGTGGTCTCCTCGGAGGCCTCCCTCCTTCACCCTGCGGCCCGTCAACTCTTCTCACGCGCATCCCTCTCATGTCACTCTTTGTGTCTCAATTTCTCCTTCCAAGCACAGCAGACAGATTACACCAAGATCCACTCTCATGGCTCCATTTTAGCTTAATTATGTCTTTAAAGACCCTATCTCCATTCGGAGTAGTGGGTGTTAGGGCTTCAACACACAAATTTTGGGGGGATGCAGCTCAGCCCATAACAGCGATGATGTTTCGTAAGTAAGTGCCTACAAACGTATAAAAGTTAGATCTCAGTGAAATGAACATGGAAATAACCACCTTGCAGAAGATGAAAAGGAACATTATATGGGTCAGCCTTAAGAACATCAAAACACATAGTCGAGTATATGTGAGAGTCATTTCCACTTCCACCGCACCTCTCGGGCACCCTGCACGATCCCGGAACCTGCAGGCCCATCCCCACCTTTTCTCACAGGTCCTCCAATTCCTCTCTGTTCCTGTCCCAGGCCAGCCCGCTGCCAAGCTCTGCTGGAGAAAATCCAGTAACTGTGCTGATGCGCTCCGTCACAAAGGCAGCCTCTCACTTCACAGCCTCTCTTCTGCGCCACAGCCCTCCCGGCTGCTCGGGCTTGCGCGCTCCTCCCCCGCTCTGCGGAGGTCCGGCCCTCCAGATCCCTCCCTCTCAGAAGGCCATCTGGCACTGCACTGGTAACGAGAGGTCACAAGCGACTGCCCAGTCTCTTCTCATCCTCTCATTTTTTCAAAGCTAACAAAAGAAAAAACATGTGATATGGAAGAAAGGAAACAAGGTTGGCTCCTCAAAGACAATTTCACCATAGAGGACCCTCCTCCTTCTTTGGCAAATCACCTTCACCTCTCAGTTTCTTTCTCTTTGAAAAGGTCATCACTTCAAGATGGTATCCTATCACTTACAACAAAATCAAAACCACGGCTGTAAGAAGAAGCCCTACATGACCTAAAGCTGTCTACTCTGACTCCATCTGGTATCCCCTCCTTCCCTGCCCATGCTGCACCTGCCATGTTACCGTGTAGGTCTTCCCAAAAAACACCAAGCTCATCCCTGCCTCAGGGCCCTTACACCTGCGGTTCCCCCTGCCATATCCTGGTTTGACACCACACACACATACACACACAAATACACACACATACACACAAACACACATATCTCAAGGCACTTCTTGCTTAAATTGATTCCAGTAAGGTCTTCCTTGGCTATTTCCATCGAAAACCAGCACTTTCCTCTAAGCTTTCTAATCTCTTTTTTTTCTCTTACTAGTGAATGTCTCTGAAATGATATTACTTATTTCTTGTCTCTCTCTCCCAAAATGGAATGCTCCAGGAGGCCAGGAACTGTGTCTTGGTCATTGTAACCTGTCACATGGTAAAACAATGCTTGGAATACTGTGAAATGATCAGATTTTGTTATATGCCTATAAGGAAAACACTAAAATAGGTATCTGGAGCCACTTCTGTCCACCACTTCCCCTAGACATGTACAAAACCCAAGTCTCAATGAACTGAAAAGGTCAAAACCATCTTTGCTGAAGATGAAAAATAACATTATATTAGACCTAGAAATAATGACATCCTCACATCTCATTTCTGGCCGTGTAACGGAAGCCACCAACTACCTGTGTCACCTCCCCATCCTTCAGCCACAGGGACTGAAGCAGGGGATGAGTACGTGGCTTGGTGTGAGCCGATCGCTGTCCTCGCCTGGGATTCTTCAAACTGCAGTTGATTTCTTATCTTCATTGTCAACTTGATTGCCTCAGGAGTCGCCCAGGGGATTAAAGAAGCACAAGTCTGGCTGTATCTGGATGGGTCACGGAACCTGAGGGTCTATATCCCACCCCTGCCCCATCCTCTCTGGCACTGTTGCTGTGCTCTGTTTTCCGACCACTATAAGATCAGCAGCTGTGCCTCCCCACACCCTTCCGCCATGCTAGGGCCTTGGAGCCAGCCAACCATAGACGGAAACCTCGAGCCAAATTAAACCTCTCTTCTGTCAAGGTGCAAGTGTCAGGTATTTTGTCCTTGCAGTGGGAAAGCTGACCAACACGTGCAGCCAGGAAAAGAGCAGCCTTCTGCTACATAAGTCAGAGCAGAGAGACTGGGAGCAGCTGATGGCCTCTTCCTACGTGGCATGAAAAAGCAGCTCCTAATGCCCTGTCAGCACAGCCCTGCCTGTAATTTGGGCACCTGAGACAATAATCATCTTTTTGTCTCAGCTGGTTACATTGTGGTTCTGTCACTCGCCACCAAAAGAATTCTGCTGTCGTGATCGATGAGTCAGTGTGTGCCAGAGGCCTGGCCCGGTGCCTGCGTGGAAGCAGGAGCATAACTGTTGTTACATTCCTCCTGGCCACCCCTGTAGTTCCATCCTCCTTTGCTCCCTCCCTTCCTGTCTCAGACAGGGGTAACCCTCCCTTAACACAAAGCCGCATCCATCCCCCTTTCCTTCCGACTCCGAACTCTGCTGCGTCATCCCTCAACTGGAGAAGGCAAGGCCCTGTTCATCTTTGCCTGGGATCCCGAGCTCCCACAGCAAGGGCAGGAGTGACTCATCTCCCGCCCCTCCACACCAGGCACATAGCTTGTGCCCAAATGCCTTTCACAGAGGCAGAGGCCGAGCTGAATAGAGTGAAGCCTCAGGCGCCTTATAAACTGAAGAGGGCTCCATAAAATGTGTACACGGGAAAGGCTGTCTGTGTGTAAGGGATTGTGATTGCAGTTTTATTAGCCAAATAGATAACCCTCCTCGTGAAAGGAGCCTTTCCAAATGATGGATGGCTCTGAGGCCCCAGAGGGACACAGGTATTTCTCAAGGCCGCCAGTCAAACAAGTTAACTGCATAACGTTTCTCTCTCCATAGCAACCGGCCTGGCCTTCTCCACCAAGCCCAGCACCTGTGCCTCTAAAGTCCCTCAGCTCTCATGGCTGCTGCCTTCTACAGCCCAAAAGCAGCTGGGCCCACTCATCCTCAGCCCCCACTGCAGGAAAGGACCAGGCTTAGAGGAAAGGCACAGGGCAGGAACCCAGAGGCAGCAACGGGCCAAGACACAGGCCTCTGGCTCTGAACTCCTGTGTTGTTCTGCTCCGCACCACCCAGCTCTCTTGTCCTCTTGCAGTCCCTGGAGGAGGGGGAAGCCCACAACAGAGCAAAGGAAAAGGAAGGAAGGTGAGAGAGGGTCCCAGAAACCAGATGCAGGGCAGGTTCACATAGTCACAGTGATCCAGAGGCAAGGTAGCACATCCCCACTGAGGAGATGAGAGCACCGGGGACACAAAGGGATGAACTCAAGGCTATACATCCAGCAAGTGGCAGTTACTTCCAGGTTTGTCTGACTCGCCAGCCTGATTCACATCATCAATCAACATAGCCAGTGGGAAACAAGAGTTGTAGGGGGTGGGGCTGCAGGGAAGCAGTCTCTGGAGGTAGATGTCTCAGGGCCTGGCGTGTCCCTCCCACCCCTCCCAGGCCCTGTCATGGCGGCCATCAGTGCCTGGGAAAACAGACACCCTCCTCAATTTGGGGGTCCTGACGGTGGCAGTGGAAACAGTATGCCTGGCAATGAACAGAGAGAGAGAGAGAGAACACTCTTATAGAATATAGGCACACACAGCCTGGACCAGGGAGAAAGGAATCTGTGGAGATGGAGGAGGACATTTCACTGCATGACTTCCTGGAGGTGAGGGAGGCAGGGGGCATGGGACCTACAGCCGGGATCCACAAACTTACTCGTCAAAGAGCCAAAGGGTGAACGTTTTCAGCTTTGTAGGCCATACAACCCCAATCACAACCACCCAGCTTCCACTGTAGTGCAAAATCCACCACAGACAATGTGTAAATAAGAGTGGCCATGTCCCAATAAAACTTTATTTACAAAAACAGGTGGCAGACTAGATTTGGCCAATAGGGTTTGGATGACCAAGCCCTGATCTACAGCACAGGATGTTCAGTCGCTTTGGAAGGAGAGACAGGGAAGGTAGACTTGAACAAAGCGGGGACTCACAACTTCTGAGCATAAGCCCTACTATGCACTAGCACATAATAGGAACCCATGAACACTAATCTGAACTACTGGACTCTGAGGCAGAAAGAAAGAAAGAAAGCTTGGGTACATTTTTAGAGAAACGTTGAGACAGGGAGTTCAGTTCTGATGGTCTGATGGTCTCTCTCCGCTGAAGAGAGAAAGGAGAATAACCGTGTTCAGTTGGTGGCCCCACAAAAGTGGGCAAGGCTTGCACAGCAGTCAGACATCAGACCCTTGCACCTCCAGCATCATGAGGTCATTAGTGCTCCCGACCCCAGAAAATAGGTCTGGGGCAGTGGGTGGAAACAGATGGGAGACAGCTTTGAAATCTGCTGAGTACACACAGCCAAGGTTGTTAAATGTGTACAACAGGCCTGAGCTGCAGGCCAAAACTTTGTAGACAGAAACCAGCTTGTTCACTAGCCCAGCATCTTCAAGTCCCAGGGAAGGCAGAAGAGACGATTCGCTCCACCCGGTAAGCACCACACTGACTGCTCTGCTCTGGTTTCCAAGCTGCTTCTTACCGATGGTCCAGTGGGTTTGCTCTCCTTCCCAGGAATTCTTTGCTTGCTGAGGCCCACAGCTTCTGGTTTCCCAGAAAAATCCACATAGCGGAGCTCCTAAAGCTTTGAGGAAAAGAAGAAGGGGGTGGGAAGATGAGGAGGAGGAGGAGGAGAAAGAGACATTTTCTCCACCACCTGCATTTCTTCTTCCTCTTTTTTTTGCATTTCTTTATCTATAGTGTCATGTGCTGATAACCCTCATCTCCTTCACCCCAGATGGTTTCCCACGCCTCATGTGACTGAGGCTGTGAGACACTGTGCTTGCTACTTCTTTCCACTTTGGAATCCCCATAGCTCCTGAAAGTGTCTAAGCTTGGTCTTTCAGCTGAGGCTACCATGGCTGACCATCAGACAGCACAGCTCTATAGATTACCAACCAGGGACCACAACAGATAGAGGTTTTATAACCACCCATTATTATGCCAGTTTTACAGAAGAATTGAAGTGCTGAGGGGTCAGATGAGGGCTGAGCAATCCAAACCCTAAGCCAGCACTCGCTAACTGTACCTCAGAGCGATAAACTCAAATGCCTCTGGGATTCAGGCTTGGGAGGTGAGCAGGCCAGGCTGGCTAGGCATGGACGCCTAGACATGTGCTATGTGAGAGGTGGAGAGCATGGAAAATGGAAAGGATGCCTCTCCAAGGGGAACAGTCCCCAGTGGTCCACCACATTGCTGCCATGTGTGAGAAGCTGGAAACATGGGGCTAATGTTCCCAAATCTTCCAATTCTTCAAGAGAAATCAGGATTTAGAGTATTAAGTGAAATCCCTTAATTTTTGAAAATTGCCTTAAATTTTCTTTTTATGCTGTGAGACCAAACAAAACACATTTGTTGGCAGCCTGTCCTCACTCTACCATAAAGCTACCTCTATATCATTAAATTCACATCCAGACCCCTCAATGGTAAGTGATGTTCATCCCCATTTAACAGATGCGAACACAGAGATTAAGAGAAGACAAGGGACTTGCGCTGACCTTGTGTAGTCACACAGCCAAGTACCCAAACTGGAGTCTGTGCTTTCTGCCAGGGCCTTTCAATGCCAAGTTGCTCCCCACGTGGTAGGCAGCTTCCCATTTCTGTGGTGTCCATCACTTGGAGTGATACCTGGGGTGAAGTTTCACACTCAGGGGCAGAACTGAGGGATCCTGCTGTCTCCCGGCTGAGTTCTTTCAGCTCAGACGTCACCCCTACTCAGGCTCAGCTGGTACTGTCAACCATTTCCCCTGGGCTCTCACTGACGGATGGGGGCACAGTAACCCCAAGGAGCCCTCAGCCTGGGTCACTGAGATAGTGGGGAGTAGTCCAGGTGGCTGCATGCCCCAGAAACAACGGGAGCCCAGAACTCCACCCAGAGCCTGCGCTTCTGCTTGTGAGGATGGTTTCCCTTGGCTGCTCCTGGACGTTGAAACCATCTGGTCTGACTTTGTTTTATGAACTTTATTATAAACTTATAAGAGGATATGAGCTGAATGCTGGTTCAATTAGGAGAATTTGCTATTTGCCGAACCCAGAGCATGTTGATCAAGCCTGGAAGAAGATCCCTGGTGGCCTGCCATAGAGTTCTGGCCTCAACTTTGACCTGTACAACATTTTTTATTAATGACTTAGTCAGAAACATAAAAGACCTGTTTACCAAATTTGTAGTTGATTTAAAAAGAAAAAAGTATAGGCATTCTGTAAAAACATCGACAGGATCCAGATGGCTCTAGACAGGCTGGACTGATGGGCTGAATCTAATAAGATAAAATGAAACAGAGATAAATGTCAGGTCCTGAACTTGGCTTCAGAACAATAACTGCTCAAGGACAGGATTGAAGTGGGTGGGACAGTAATGAGATTTAGCAGCAGCAGACTTTAATGAGACCTGGAGCTTAAGCCAAGACAGCCAACCTAGCTGTGACACTAAAAAACAATCCAGGATGTCCATCACTGCATTGTTTATAAGAGCAAACACTGGAAGCAATCTGAATGTCCAATAAATATGGTTCATCTGTACAGGTGTGTGATGGCTTGTGTCTGGAAGTCCCCCTAAAGCTTCATGCAGTCATGGGGCAAGCTTCTAAAGTTTTTGATTGATCCATGGTCCAATGCTGGGATGATGGGTGTGAGTGCTGCACCAGCCCTGGGGTGGGTAGTTTGCATTCAGTATAAGGGAGGGGAAAAGCCTTGCTCTCTGCCTCTCCTCCCTTTTGCTCTTGTTGCATTTGCTGTTTTCTACTACCATGAATAGTTGCCCTGTGCCATGTGCCACTCTGCCTTGGAGCCAGCCCAGTATGGACTGAAACCTCCACAAACTATAAGCTAAATAAATCTTTCCTTCATTAACTCTGGGCATCAGGTGTTTTGTCTCAGCAATAAGAGAAAAGTAACCAAGACAAGATGCAAAGTATATACTCATTAAAAATAATAATGCTTTGGCTGGTTATATGGTCCAGCGGCACAGTGACTACCTGGCAAGCGGGAGGTTGTAAGTTCGATTACCAGTACCTCCCCTCCAAAAAATAATAATAATGCCACTAAGTACATATTTAATGACATGGGAAAATATTATTAAAGAAAAATCAATCATTTATAAAACAACATGTAATTTAAGCCAATTTTTTGTTCTTGTTTTTTTCTGGTACCAGGAATTGAACTCATGACCTTACACTTGCTAGGCAAGTGCTGTGCTGCTGAGCTAAATCCCCAGCCCTAATTTTTATTTTTAAAAGGAAAAGACTGAATAAAGATATGGAAAGATATATACCAAAATGTGAACTTGGCAGTGTCTGGGTGGTACTAGGGGGTAACTTGGAGATTGTAGAGTTCTCAATAAGCATGCAAGACTTTTTAAGGTTTTAGAAAGCTAATACAATTAACCCCCAGAATCCTCCTAACAGGCTTCTTAAAGGAATCCTGTCATACACTGGTTCAACTAAGACAGGATCTAAATCTAGCTCCAGATATTTCCTTGCACAACCTCATGATAGTGGGCAACAACACACTGCGCATGCTTACACTATGCCTGGAAGTGTGCAAGGGCTTTAAGTTGGTTATCTCACTCAGTAGCTCCCATATTCTATGATTCCCCACGAGATAGATACCAGTGCTTTCTCCATTTTACAGAAAGGGTTCAGAGAGCCCAAGGAATTTGTCCAATACCACGTAGTTAGTGAACAGCAGGAATAGACCCAGGAACAAGAGACTGGAGAAAGACAAATTCCCTGCAAACACCACAGGTGCTGCCAAGGATGAAGCATTATCAACAGACCCACACTGCCAACACCCTGGTCAGGGTTGGCCACCAGATGTTCTAACAGACTGATGGTTCCTAGCCTCCTTGAGAGAGACTGGCAAGCCACCCCTGGGGACTGGACACTGACGCCACCCGGACTGAATTCCAGCCTTGTACTCAGAATTAGGACCCTGTCTTGTAGAAGATAAAGAAAGTCCTGGCTGTCACATTAGAGAAAGTAAAAGAAAATGAGATGGGAGATGTGGGGACCAGAAATAGTAGCACAGGATGATGTCAAAATATTAGTCACATCCTCCCTACCTCAACCAAGCCCAGCACCTTACAGACTTTATTGCAGCTTCTTATCATCAAAACTGAACAATCTAAAAAAAAAATAACTGAACAATCTGGAAGATGTGGAGATCCTTGGGTGCCAGCCCCATCAGTAACCAAATGGGTTGCCGGACCTTAAGCAAGTCCCCACCAGGAAAGAAATCCAAGGGGCTCAGGGAGAACAGCAAGAGAGCAAAGCCACCCGCTGTCCTGGGAGAGAGGGTGGTAGTTCTCAGCATACCATTTCCCTCAGGTGTGACCATAGCCAAGCACTGGGACGAAAACATTTAAATACTGTACCCATTTCCCATCTTAGAAACACGTGGGCATAATCTGGAGGAGGAAGAGACTGACTTGTGCATTGGGAACCCAGAGGGCAGGGCCAGCTCCAATGTGGAGCGAACAGAAGAGGCGCATTCCACTCCTGACTGGTGACGTCCCACAGTGGGGGTGCACTGGCCTCAGAAAGCAGCGGTCTCCAGCACGTGTTAAATGTCTCTGGTTGTGAGAAACAATGTAGGAGGTAAAGCTGTACCCTAAACCTGGAAGGCCAATAGGATCAGGACTATTGGTTTGCTCATTATTTCCCCCAGGTCCATGGACACATACCTGGTTAGTAAGTACTCAAAAAACTATCTGTTGAATTAATGAGTGGAATGAAGACTTGACCAGACCATCACTAACGGCCCTTCTGGAACTAAGTCTAGAATCTTGATAAATTTTATAATCAAGTCTATAAAGTGTCTAGTTTCATCATAATTCATTTCTTCCAATGTCTGTCCCCTCACTTAAGCTGGCTATGGTCCCTGTGGGCAGTATTCTGTGCCCCTTACAACTATATCATTTCATCTCCTTGAGATCCTACATAGGACCTCATGGTACAACTGTACCGTTTAATCAAGCCCAAGAAGTTGCACAGTTGGTTGTTTCCAATTTCTTACATTTGTGAAGTATACAGCTACACATATAGATATGCAAATATTTGTTTTCCTCTTGGTTATTTCCTTGGAGTCTACTTTGCAAAAAGAAATCACCGGATGTCTTCCCCCAGTCAATGACTGTCTACCCTCGCAGACTTGGGCCCTTAAACTCAAGCTTTTCCAGCTGCTGTGAATTGTAATGATGTCCCAGTCCCACTGGGAGCAGACAATGGACCAAGAGCCTCCTAATTCAAATGCTTAGTTGTACTAAAACATTCCAGAGACAGTTTAGGATGGGAGATCCACAGGATTGTTCTTCAACTCATTTATATCATCCCAGCGTCACAAAGTCCAGGATAGATGACTTCCCCGCTACACACTCCCTTCTGGAAGCTCATCAGCTGCAACTCCACAGACTGGGAGATGGGTCCCCAGAGGATGGCTTCTGCCTCAAAATGGTCCTCCTGAAATTCATCGTTCATTTCCTTTCTTCTTAGAGCTTATCAGCTTATTGGTGGGTGACAATGTGGGAAGATCGTAAAATAAGATGTGCAAGCATTCAGACTTCTGTGACAGCTCTCACTTCAGATAATGTGGTTGGCCTCAGATACATCATCACAAAAAGTAAGCAGATTCCAAATCCAGTGTGAATGGTCAGATTTAACTCTGCCCAGCAGAGTAGATTGGCCAAACATCAAAATAATTTCCTGGCATCTACTGCCCATAGATACGAGGCCTCTGGCAAGAGGGACTGCTTTCTAGCCCCACCAGCAGGTGTATGCAGTGTCCCTCCCTCCCCACTATCCCAAAGTCAGCTCAGCTTGGCCACCCCTTCTTGCTGGTTTAATGGCTGCATAGCAGGACTCAGGTGCTCGAATGGGCTGTATGTGTCTGCATGGTGATGGAGTGTATTTCCCAAAGGGCGGGTCATTGCTCATGGGACTGACTCCCCCATGGTGAGCCAGGGAGAGCTAGAGTGTGCTCTCTGTCCCCTGCATCCCTCACGAGGACACCTTCCTCAGGTATTTGCTTCATTACTATTTCACGTACAGAAGGTTTTTCTTGCAGTATATTCCAAGCTAATTTTAGAAATTTGTTTTCACCTTCCGACATTGATTCCTGGGGCAGCTTGCAAGCTGCCTGGAACAAAAAATCAATGGTGACAGCCTCCAAGTGGGCCCCTGTTCTTCATTAACCCAGAGCTCAGAGCAGCCCCAGCCCCGCCTCCTCCCTCAGGCCTAGCCCAGGGCAAAAATGGGAGGTCGGGAAGTTTTTCTTTGGTGCCCTTGGCCTTTCTTTCCCGAGTCCCTTTTTGTTTTCTTGCTCTGTTCTTCTCCTTACCAACACTTATTCTCCACCGGGTGTGGAGCTGGGGTGGAGAGGAAGTAGGGTAAGATCCATTCAGTGCCACCCATGCATCAGGGACTACACTAGCACTTTACATGCACAATCCCGTGTAAGACAATCAATAATATTCAGAGGCTGAGACTGCCCCCACTTCAATGAAGAGGAAACAGAGGCACAATGAGACCAAAAATCAAGCCCAGCGTCACACAGTTAGTAAAGTGCCCCTGGGACCACAACCTTACTAACCTCAAAGACCACGTTCTCACTATTACACACCATGATAATGGTAA